GTGTAAGAAAAAAGTCATCTCTCCCAATTCTAATGTACAACATGAGTCACTTCCTTACTATCCACACAGTAGGGGAAAAATAGGTTGAACAAACATACATGTAAGGGAAATTGCAAGTAAATATAAGAATTTTAAAGAGGAATGGTTGCAGTCTGAATAGTTACATATTTTCATATATGTACGTTACAGGAACAATGTTTCTGTCAAAGGTTTTGAAATTGAGTGGAAAATTAAGCTGCAATAGTAGCACACTCTAACAGGGTGGGTGTTAGAATCAAATAGAATACACAGCACTCTGGTCAAGAGTCCAAAGGCCTTAGCGTGGCCTCCTCCGGTGTCCGCGGCTGCGGGGAAGACTGTACCACAAGCTCTCCTGTACCTTCCTTGCCAAGCTGTCCTTACTCATGGAAAAGACTGGGTATTATTTCAAAGAGGAGCTTATTCCTGTGGGTACCACACTCTCCTCTGATATCTTGCCCAACCACCTAAAATTCTAACCTACCAATAAGATCTTCATTTGGATAAAAGCAAATACCCATCCACAGGTTGGGTTAGGGAGAGCCTGTGCTCTCATGGAGTCATTTTTTTGTATGGATTTTGTATTACCAGGGAGTTTCTTCTTAACACCTAACCACGTCGCAGATTAGAGCTGGAAAAGAGAGTGAGGATGATCAGCATCAAGTGAGATAATTCTGGATCTTGAGGGGTTTAAGGGTAGTTAAGGAGGTCAAGGGGGCAGGGCTTTAACCAACAGCTGCTAACTAGCTACCCTGTGCTTGACAGCATGTTTGGAAAACTCATCTCACTGAAACCATCCCAACCCCATGAGGGAGTCATACTAGTCGCTTTAACAGAGATTATCAAGGAAAGGAAAACTGTAAAAGGAAAAAGGAAGTCACATCAACTTGTTCAGGCAGGTCTTCCTCTTTGCCGTTTCCCCAGCAGTCAGACCCCAGTTCTGACTAACTCCTGTCAGATGCCTGATGTACCTTCTACCCTCTGTGGATCTGTCTAAGCAGCCATTTCCACCTGTGGTGAACCCACACCGGGGATGTGAGGCAGCTCTGATTCCTTATACCGTGACAGAAAGGAAATCTGTATAAGGCTGAATTACCCTCAGTAGGGAGAACTCAAGGTCATCTTTATATTTATGTTATACTCCTCACTTGTTTTGTGATTGGGACAGAAATAGGTTGAGTAAGAACTAGCACATTAGGAATTTTGCATAAATAATCTAGTCACCCTGTGGAAACCTGTTACATTTGAGAAAGAAAGAAAGAAAGAGAGAAAGAGAAAGAGAGAGAGGGAAAGAAAGAGAGAAAGAAAAGGAAAAAAATGACGGGAAGAGAAAGTAAGAAAGGAAGAGAGAAAGAGAGAGGAAGAGAAACAGCAAGCAGGAAGTCTGGGTATCTAGGAAAGTGTATAGTGAGGGGAAACCTGTCTACACTGAACTGTCTTCTCCAAGAAGCACAGGCCCCTGGGGAACAGTTAAAAACTGTTATTAAGGGTCTAGAGCAGCTGCGGGCTATGTGAACTGGGACCAAGAATGTACTAAATAATTAACTGAAATAAAAAAAATAAATGAAAACTCCAAGTACAGTAAATGATATAAAACAACATTTGTTTTTCCTAAATCTATTTTCAAAAAAGTTACAGGTGTGTAAAAATAAGAGTAACTGACTCTAAAAATGGGTCCATCTGTATTTAATCATCTAATACAAAAATAATACCTTTTCCTTGTGTCTAGGACCTTTAAGGGAAGAAGAAAATCAACTGAGGTGGGCAGAAAGGACAGGGCAGTGTCCCAGCCCTCTGAAGCTTATTACATATGTGGAGAGAAAGGTCATGTACATGAAGATATACTATAATACTGCACAGTCAATAAGGTTAAAAGTGGTACAGACAACTGTTTCATCCCTAAAAAATCTCTCTGGGGCTGAAAAATTGCAGAATCGAAGTTTTCTTGATATAGTCACAAAATGGATCACAAACATGATATCACAAATATGATAACAAAGTACTATAATCCTTGGCTCTGTTTACAGGAAAATGATTTTATATATAAAATACATTTTAAAAATACTTTTATTCATATGTTGCATTTTTAAAAAACAAGCATTTAAAACTTTTCTAGACTTACAGGACAGTAGACAAATCCATCACTTTTTTCATCAATGAAAACTACTCTGGTCCCATTTGGGTCAGGAAAAATCTTTTTCACACTGGCAGCATGTCGATAATCATCAACGAACTGCCAGTCTTCAATGTAGAAATACTGAATGACACCAGTCTAAAAAATAATCCAGACAGAAATATAAAAAGTTGTCAAGAAAACACTGACTTTCAACCTGTATGTTAAACATACTTCCTTATTTGAAGGGAAAAAAATGTCATATTGGTGATAAAGGAAGAGTCTAAGAATATTTATTATATGTACCAGGTACAGACCCAAGAAAATAAGCAAAATGAGAATGTACATGTGATTCAACAGGCTATTAATTCCAACATTCTTAGTGATATTAAAGCTTAATTGAGTTTCAGATTTTCCACTGGCAGAAAATACCCTTACTGCTGGAGTAACATTCAAATCATGCTATTTTAAATATCTGTGCTATTAATTAATAGAAAAATTCTAAAATTAAGCACAAAATAAAAAAAACAAACCACCCAATACAATTAATTGTATTTCTATATATTAGCAATGAACAAGTAGACACCAAAATTTAAAAATACCATTTACAATCATTCGAAAAATAAATCTTGCTTGTTCAAGCTCCACCTCTGCTACAAACTTACTAACCTCTCAATCTTGAATGTCCTCATCTCTAAAACGTCCCTACTTATTTTATAGAGTTAATGAGATAAGTGAGATCAGGCTTTACAAACTGTTGTGTGTCACACAAATGTATTTACTATTATTTACCATGTCACTCACTAGTTTACCTGATACATAATACCCTACTGGTGTATATTAGTTTAAAGACCATTTTAGGGCAAACTTCAATTTATAAAGTCTCTCTTATGGCAATAAGCATATTTTTTTTAATTCCCTTTTTTAAAAACAATTTAACGTGAGAAAATATAACCTTTGAAACAGTGAATAATTGTTTTTCTAATGTGGAAAACAACACCTTTTCTACCAACTTTACTAAATTCCTTTAGAGACTGAACATGATAACAAGTATGATAAGCTTTGAAAAATCTTTGAAAACTTTTTACAAATATAGGATGCTATTACTGTAACTATGCTTTATGTTCATGTGGCTAATGTAATATTTAGAGGCATTGGTGGTTCAAGAGACCAAAATGCTGAAGTGAGATTCTCAGGATTCTATTAATTTTAATATTAAATTCCTACTAAATACAGGCACTGGAGATCTAAAGTTGAATGAGGTGTCTTATGTTCATCATCAAATTAAATCCTTAAAGCATCTAGATGAAGAAAATGAGGCTTGCAGGAGATAAACAGCAACTAGCAAGTAAAATAACTAGTATTTGAGCCCCAATTTTCTTGACTCCAAAGTTCACCTTTTTTTGCTGTGCCGTCAAAATTGCTTATAATCACAGAAGCACTCAATAACTAGCAAATCATGCCCCCTATGTGTTCTACATAAGTATCTATTTGTATGTTTATATTATAATTATACATATATTTATATAATGTATATGTGTATTATATATTTATGTACACATAATAAATATATATATTACCAAGTACAAATTAGAAACTACCCTATATTCTGTATTTAAAAAGACAGTACGTACATCTGTACCATAGATGAGGAAATCACCAGTTAAAGCATGACATAGAATACGGCACTTATCATCCACGGCTGGGAAAAGTCGAGTCTCACGTTCTTCTTGAGCATCCAAGATTTTACTTTCTATCTAAAACATAAAGAATAGTGGCTCATAGATTTATGTGAGTAAGCCTGGTCTGCAACATCAAGGAGAGGGTCTTTCAGTTACGTTCAACTGAACATTCAAACTGACCAGGCTACCGCAGACCAGCTGACTCGGGAAGATATCACACAGGAAGCACCGTTTGCTGGCAGAGGAGCATGAGACAACACTCTGCAGTGGGAATAGTCTCTCAAGTTATCTAACAGCTCATCTCTTTGGCTTCCCAGAAGCAGAGCCAAGAAATACATGTGGGAGATGTCCTGGTTTAGAAGTCCCATATTCTTGGGGCCAACACCTTTTGAGCAACTCAGAGGCATAGTTTCAAGGACCCCCCTCAAACCCCCTGCACAAGCAACATGCCCAAATGGAGGAGTCAATGCATTCCAGGAGCCCAGATGTATGGTGTTCCCATTGGTTTTTATATATAGTTCCTTTATAGTTTCTTGATGAAGTTTTCCAAATGGGTCATTTTTACCATAAGGACTGGTGCAAGCAGCACATTTGGTAAATTGCCAGATTTCTTGGGAACAGAGCTAGAAAGTTAACCGAACATCTCATGCAGAAGGATAAAAAGGTGTGTTAATCCTTTATGCATACCTGGCTTTCTAGCTAGTCTATACATGGTTATTTCCAGGGCAATGTTCTCAATAATAAGACAGTAGGATGTTTATCATCATCACTTAACTGAGCAGGCCTCCAGGACATGAAAATCATCCTTACCAAATGTAACTGCACTTTCCCTTCAAAAAGTGCAGCAGCATAGTCAGAATGAAGGCAAATGCTGGTGACTGTCCCCAGATACTCTACATCTTTCAATTTTTTAACACCTGTAGCAATTAAAAAAAAAACAACACATTAAAACATAAATAAAAGTATCTTACATAAAGATTTGAAAATAATTTTAAGTGTGTACTTTGCAAGGAAATACTGAACCTAAAATTTTTATTTTAGCCATTCAAAGAAAATCTTAGTTGCCATACAAATTTGCCTTCAGGAATTCCATAATGGTTCACATGAAACAAAGTAATGGATAATAAAATCACATACAAAACAACCAGAAATTAAACCTTGGTGACAATAAGCTTAATGGTGTGCGCTATCAGAGGATAATTCTCGGCCTTGCTCTATTCCTGAGGGATACCTGACCTCCAGTGGGGGAAGCAAAGGAGGAAGAGGGGAAGAAACAGCAAGGCTCCCATCAGATGCTACTGGTCATTATTCAAGGAATAAACTTGTGGGGGAGGGAACCAGCTTTTACTGAGAACCTACCAAACCAAGGCGTGCCTAAGAAAGTCACTATGCAAGGACAGATCACATATTTTATTTAATTTTTCACATGGCCCCTTACATGTAGAAGAATCTCCATTTTCCAGATAAAGAACCCAAGGTTCACAGGGATAAGGAATTTGTCTCGAGTCGTCTAGCTAAAAGAGGCAGGCAGGACATGTGAATCCAAGGCCTCTCTACCATGCTGTCTTTACCACAAAGGTAAAAAATAAAACCTTTCCAAAAATAATGCAAATTTTTAGAGGACTCAGTTCACAAAACCTTTTAAACTAAGAAGGAGGTGTCTAAAGGAAAAAAAGTGAAAGACTTGGTCTTCAAAGAAACTTACAGTGCTTCCCAATAAGATCAGAAATTATGTGCTAGATAAGAAAACAACCGGCTTTAGTTAGACTTACCGTTCTCTCCAAGGACATAAAACCAAGCTCGATTGTTCATGCCCACAGCCAGATGATAAATTCCTACGGCCACAAAGTTGGGTTCCACGTCAACAGAAACCGTGATCGGCAGCTGCTATAACAGAGAAAAGTAACAGCAGTAAATCAAATGCTAAAACTGTTTTTATTTTACTAATAAATAAAATAAAAATAACACCATTTTCATACTCCTTCAACAGGGTTGGCAACAGTGACTTCAAGGAGAGAGGTGAGATACGCAATCCTTGTGCTGCAGGCATCCCCCAGTACAGGAAGCTTGGTCAGGAAAACATGGAGTGAGCCCCTCTGGGTAGACAGTGCCAGCAACTGGCCATCATCTGTCCAGGACAAGGTGCCCAACCCTGAAATAATTGACAAGAAGAAAGGATCATTCAAAAACAAATATGCTGCTGCAGGCAAACAAGCAAATATTTTCATTTAAGCTATCAGAGGCATAAAAATCTTCCAATGTTTTAATAGTTTAAGTAGTCTTTATTTGAGCTAGGAAATTCACCATGGATTGGCATATGAACATGAGCACTGATTTCCATTCAATATCAGCTCAAATATAAGAATTTAGATTTAGTTGAAATTGAGATACAATTCACTGTAAATCTTTGGATCGAAGTGAACTTATATCCTTCTAGTCAAGGAGTATGACTCATCATAATTACTGAAATAAGGAGGCTATTTTAGGGAACTCTACTGAAAGGTGTTAATTTTATTCCTCCTACAATGAATGCAAATCACACAACAAACACATTATCACATTATTCTGTTATTGGAATGATAAAATGGACATCTGCTTCAAAAAAATCAATACCTTTATTTTCATCATCCAGGTTGATTATAGCATACATGTCTTTTAATTCTGCTAACTCATGGATTTTAATACTGAAAAATAAAAATTAAATATGAACTCTAAGTAAAATTATTTTTGTTCATAAACAATGTTATACATATTTCTCAGTCTATTCATAATCAATATTTACACCACTTCAAGCAGAATGCAGAAATCGTATCCCATATAAGAATTTTACCCTTTCCCCTTTGTTGTAGTTGTCTTATATATTGCATCATCATGCAATGAACATACTGTCAGACATTATAATTTTTTGCTTTCAGCAGCCACATATATGTTAACAATCTCAAAAGAAAAAAAAAATAGTCTATTTACCTAGCTATTTGCCATTTCTGTTGTTCTACCTTCATTTTTGATGTCCCAAATTTCTGTCACCTATTCTCTTCTATCTAAAGAAATTCCTTCAGTAATTCTTTTAGAGCAGGTCTGTTAGCTGTTAGCAATTAATTTTGTACATTTTCCTTCATCTGAAAATGTTTTTATTTCCCCTTCATTGCTGATGGGTATTTTCACTGGATACAGAATTTCAGTTCACAGTTCTTTTCTTTAGGCACTTTAAGAATGTTGTGCCACTTCCTTCTGGCCTCCGTGATTTATGGTGAGAAATCTGTCATTCAAAAAGTTTTCTCTAGCCACTTTCATGATTTTGTATTTGTCTTTAGTTTTTAGCAGTTTGTTTATGATGTATCTGAGACTAGATTTCTCTGGATTTATCCTTTTGGGGTTTTGCTGAGCTTCTACAATACATATAGATTTAGGTCTTCTGTCAAACATGAGAAGTTTCCAGCCATTATTTCTGAGACTTTTTGGTATTGTTTTACAGGTATTGTTCATTTTTCCTCAGTCTGTTTATTCTGTGTTCAGATTAGATATTTCTACTGATCTGTCTTCAAATTCACTGGCTCTTTATTGTGATCTCCATTCTGCTATTAAGTACACTGCATTAAATTTTTCGGTTCTTAAATTTCCATTTGGTTCTTTTATATAAGTCCTATTTCTTTTCTGAAACTGTTTCCATGTGTTTTGAGAATATGAGCCCTTACCTCTTAAAGTATTTTTATAACAGCTGCTATCTTCATCATCTTGGCATTCGTGTCTTTGAATTGCTTTTCCCAAGCAAGTTGATATTTTCCTCATTCTTCATGTCAAATAATTTGGGGTTATATTCTGGATGTTTTGAATATCATATTACAAGACTCTGTGTCTTGTTTAAATCTAGTGGAGAAGTTTATTTATTTATTTACTTATTTATTTACTTATTTAGCAGGCAATCAACCCTGTTGGGTTCAGGCCACAAGTTTCAACCAGCCTTCTGTGGGTTATGGTTTCAATGTCAGTTCCCCTTTCAAAGCCTTTGCAGTGGTATCTGTATATATCCCTGTATAACCCACTCAGTGGCCAGTACAGGACCTGGGCTATTATCTCTTCCTTAGTTCAGTTCTCAAAGTCTTTCTTATGTGTTTAGGATGAGATACACATACACAACTCAAAAGTGAACACCGGAGTTCATAAATATCTTTATAGGGTTATTTTCCAGAGCCCCTCCCTCTCTGGGATGTTTCCGGTATTGTTCCAGTTTCCTAGGGCTCCCCATTTTGTCCTCCAGCTGAAACGCTGGGGCTCTAGTTACCCTGCTCTGCCTTGCACTTCCCACAACTACACCCGCATCTGTGGCAAAGCAGTGGGAGGAGAGAAGAATAAGAAGGTTTGCCCTGTCTTCTTGGCATCGCAGCTACTCCCATTGGAGAGGAAGGCTATCCTCCATCAGCATTTTAGGTGCCTCGGGGTCCTTGCTGCCACTGCTGGTGCTGCCCCTGCCATGGTGAGAATGCTTGGTAGCTGGAACATGGGACAAAAGAAAGAAAACGGGGGGATTGTCCCACCGCTCGCTAAGTGTTAGGAGTTCTCTTTCCTGCGACTTGAGGCAGAACCAGAAGCTTCTCTCAGAGCCCCTCTGTCCATGCTCTGGAGCCCACTTCCAGATTTTGGGCTGCCCTAAGTCCGGGGGCTGGAGGACAAATGGGAGACCCACCACTGGTTCAGTCATACTTCAAATGCTGGTTTTCTTCATCAAGCTGCCTGCTACTATTTATTTTTCAGAGTCCTGAAATAGATTGTTCCATGCATCTGTCCAGGTTTTATAGCTGCATTCAGTGAGAGAGACAGGGTAGAGCAGCCTCCGAGCCCACGGCTGGAGGACAGGGCTCTGCTCCGGGCGGCAGCCTGTGCCTTTGAGAACCCCTGTGCGCCAAGCTCGGAGTTCACTGTCTTCTGGCTTCTTCCTCACAAACTGCAGCTGCCTGTTCTGGGAAACACTGGATGGTCCTCTTCTTGACCAGAGTCACCCCAAGATCCAAGCTTGGCCACGGGGGCGAGGCTGGTGCTGCTCCCCAGTCACCTGCAGACCCCACAGACATGGGCTTCTGAGGACTGAAGTTGCCAACCGTGGGACGCACACCCAGGGCTCCTCACCCCCAGTGCACACTTCGGTTTTAGTACTGGGAGTGCCCCGTGTCGGCCACACACGGCCCTCCACAGGAGCTCCCCGTCACACCATGCATGCCCTGTATCACACGTGACCCATGTCACTGCAGCCTTACCCATGCAGCATTCTGGTTTTGCCTGTTTTTCATGTCCATGCCTCTAGGATTTAGTATGCTTTCTCCCTGGTGAGCTTGAGCACACGGTATATTGGCATTCCCCCTGGTGGAAACCGTCCGTGCCCACGTACCCGGTGGGGCTCGAAGTGGCCATTGGGCCATAAATACTGTTGCACATAACTGGTGACTTGGGCCTGTGGTGGTGCAGACACTCCCTAGTCTAGTATTTCCCACTGTATTTTTATCATCCAGAAATTTAACTTTCTAACTAGTCAAATTTGTTCACCCTTTACTTTATAATCTCTTCGCTCCTTCAGTCCTTATTAAGCAAGTGTGCTCTATACCTGAGATGGATGCTGTTTGCTTTCTACTGGTTTCCTGTGGCTTGCTGTCCATGTGTCTCCCTAATCCAGACGATGCTGCACTGGTCCCCACATTACTCTCCAGCTGCCTCCTGCACTTATCACAGTGCTTCCGGTCCTACTGTCTACTGACACCTGTTTTCTCCTATAATAAACATCTGTCCCAACCCATTCAAAAAAAAAAATATTTTTTTTTCAATTGCAAACATGTTCTAAGAGTTTAAGTATGGTTGATAGATATATATCAGCAATCGAAGTCTTGCTGAATCTCTTGAATACTGTTATATAAGCTTTCCTAGGAATTTGTGAATGTACTTACCAGTTATCACCACATGTAGCAGCTTTGTTAAGGGTCTGTGATAGTGCAATACTGGTTAGACTATCTTTATAGTCATGAACCTGAAATACCTCTTGACCAATCTCTCGAATATAAGTGGAAATGACCACAAAAATTCCACATGTAAAGCCAATCATGATATAGCCATCACCATACCTATAGCAACAAAGGCAATAATACAGTAAAAGGGAAATTAACACTCATTGACAATACAGTAAATAAACAAGTACTTTAAAATGCAGAAATTAGAGAATATAATTTTTTATTAAGGGTCTATGTGCCAGATAATATGCTAGGTAGCTTCCCATACTAAATCACAGCCTATAATCCAGAAAATGTTATATATAGAAGTAAAAAAGCTACAGGCATTTTGAAACATAATTAGTAAGGAAAAACACATGGATACCTTTCTGTGTAACGAGCTATTTGTACATACCAACTATAGCAGACAATGTTGCCATAGCGCTGCTGAAACTCCAGATCAACTGGGCTATCTGGTTCATTCAGGTTAAAAAAGAACAATGATTTCTTGCCAACCACCACACTTATCTGCCAGAGAAGATTAAGAGATTGTGAATTGAATTACTTGGGATTTCATTTAAAGACCAATAAGCAAACTCAAAATGCTGAACCTAATTTATAAAACAAGTCAAATTTA